GGCACCCGCCACCCACCCGGCAGTTGTAAGCTGTGATTCGTGCCAGGAGCCCTGGCGGCCTTCTCCTTCAAATGAAACCTGGACGGGAGCAAAATGGGGCCGTTCTGGAAGATGTATCGGGCGCTCTGAAGCTAGTTCTCCCGATCCTGGACCCGATTTCCTCCTCATCCTCCTCCTCCTCCTCCTCCTCCTCCTCCCCTCCCCCGCCCCCTTCCCATCCGCCTCGTTGTCCTCCTCCCACAACGGAATCTGTTTGACAACGTTCTGCCTCCGGGGACACTTTTCCGGGCACCGTGAAGCACTCGGGATTAGAAAACCGTCGTGGGGCGCAGGTCTAGATCTCCAGGAGTCACACTCTGGCCATCGCTCGGACGTCCATTCCCTGTGGTTTTTTCGGTTTCGTGCGTGGTTTTTCCCCAAATGATCGAGGATGCTCCTCGATGGTCCCTGCCGAAGGAAAAATGCACACGTCCGAGCGATGCCAAGCACTGTGAAAGCTCCTCCGCCTGCGCCTCCGGACGCGCCTCCCGGCTCGAGAGTGTGACACTGTCCCACCTTTGTTGGGCCTGCGCTACGGCAAAGCTCTGGCCCTCCTCGCTCCTCCTCGCCCTTCTCGTTCTGCTCCGTCCTGCCCGTGCGTCTCCAAGACACCGACGCCAGCACACATCTGGTGCCGCGACTGGCCTTACCTTCGCCACCGCGAACCAGCTCCGCGCCGAAATACTGCCCTTGTCCGGAGGCCAGCGCACTGCGCGCCTGGCTGCTGAACCCTGTGGGCACTGGCGAATGCCTGATCGAGTGGACAAACTCCTCTTCCTCATCTGGGGCCTCGAGCTCGCACCGCATTGCCGACGCATCGGCGATGTCGAGACGGAGAAGGCCGGGCCTCCGATCGCGCCGCATTGCCGATGCATCGGCGATGCGATGCGACTTAGGGACCAGCCCTGGTCGGGGGGGCCTGGATGATCTGGCGGCGCGCAGAAGGGGGTAGGGGGACGGGGGAAGGTTTCTTAGAAGGAGGGGTGCTTCTTAGAAGGCGGCGGCCTTACATCTATACATAAGGGCCGCGCCTTCTAAGAAGCAGGGGTGCTTCTAAGAAGCCTTCCCCCCTCCCCCTACCCCCCTCTGCGCGTGGCGGGATGATCCCGAGGGCAGCTGGAAGAGAGCCGAAAGGAAGGACAGGTCGAGCAGGAAGCCTGCGGGCGGCGCCCCATGGGCGGCCACACGGGACGTTCGGGCCACCGTCGCAATCACAGCACGCGAGGGCAACGAAACCAGGACCGTTTCCTCGGGAGCGGCCAAGAGGGGGGTGTCCAGGAGGGGGGGTGCAAGTCATGACCGGCGGCATGTGTGCGGCCCAGCGGGGGGGCCGGGAACGTAACGAAACAAGAAGAGGCGCCATGAAATCTGGGGAAATATCATGACCCCCGCCATGATATCCACCCCCCCTAGTCATCACCCCCCTTTTCCGCCCCCGATTTTCACCTCGGAATCGGCAAAATGGCGCAAACCTCGAGGATAGTACATGTGTCTGCCTGCGTGAACATCTGACGGGATCGGCCGGCACCGACACGACCGAACCAGCCAGCCATCCAAGGAAGGACAAGGAGACAGCCAGCCAAGGAGCCAACGGACCAGCCGGGCAGCCAACGAGCCAGCCGGCGAGCCAGCCAGCCAGCCAAGAAGTGTCACCGAGCCAACTGATCAGAGAGCCAAGATGCAGCCAGCCAGCAAAACAGTCAGCCAACGAACCAGCTAGTCAGCCGAGAAGGTGAAGAGCCAGCCAGACAGCTAAGAGCACCAGCCAGCCAAGGAGCCAACGAGTCAGCCAACGAGTCAGCCAGTCCAGCCAGCCTGAAGTCAGCGAGACATCCCGCTGGCTTCTGTCTAGTAGGGAGGACTGGAATTGCAACAGGGCGATGCCCCGTGTAGCATTTAAGCGGCAGGCGTAGCTGACCTTCTTAATGGCAACTCCAAATCAATATGAAAAAAGTATCGAATGGTACGGTCCTTGACTCCAGGTAAAGCCGAACGGTACCACCACGACCAAGCAACTGGCAAAGGACCACCAAGGAGCAAGCCAGACAACGAGCCAACGAGCTAGCCAGCCAGCAAGCCAGCAAGTTGAAGCAACCAGGAAGACCACGAGACAGTCAGCCAGCCGACAAGAAGCAATGTATCAGGTCAGCTGACCCGAGGACCAGCCAGCCAACGAGCCAGCCAGAGAGCGTGTGAGCCAGCCATCCAGCCAACTAGCCGAGACCCTAACAAGCCAACCAGCCAGTCAGCCAGCCAGCCAGCCAGCCAAAGACCACCATCCAGCCAGCCAAGGAGCCAACGAGCCAGCCAACCAGCCAGCCCCCTACTCCCTCCTCGCAGCTGTGACATCCACCTTTTCCTTCTAGCCAGCTGGGCCCTGGGCCACCACCATCCGATGGCGACCGCGTGCGCTGGCCAGCAGGCTGTCAGACGATGCACTTGGCGAGGTCAAGGCGCCACAGCTCGTCCGAGTCGTTCTTCCCGTCGAAGCCCCCGAAGGCGAAGACTTGCAGCCCTCGGACGGCCAGCCCGCCGCAAGCATGGGGATGTGGCCCTGCGCCACGCGCGTGGGGCAGCGCCACTGGGCAGGACGCGGAGCCGCCAGCGCCAGAGGTGCCCCCCAGCAGCCAGAGATCCGCGGGCTCGAACTCGAAGGCCGTGTCAACTCCTCCCAGGATCAGCACACCAACACCCTCGACCGATGCCGCAGCAGCGTCGATGCGCGAGGGTGGCCCGCTGGGGTACACCAGCTCCTGCCAGACACCAGTGGACAAGTCAAGGCTGTGGACTGCATGGGCCGTCAGAAAGGTCGCGTCTTGACCCGAGTGCACGAGCAAAAGGTCCCCCTGCACCGCCCCGCAGTGGTGTGCTCGCGACACGAGAGCGCCGCTGGTGGGCATCTCGTGCCAGGTGCCCTGCGGCTCGAGGACCCAGACGTCTGACATGACCCCGTCGTTGCCGAGCCCGCCGTGGAGCACCCCACAGGCAGCTGTCGGCCACGGAGCCAGCACGAACGAGGAGCGGGCCGACGGGGCGCGGAGACTGTCCCGCTGTGGCACGGGCAGCCAGCGCGCCCGGCAGCACCCGCGCAGCCGGCTGTCTCTGACGCTGCTCTCCAGGTCCATAACCAGACGCCACGTGTCTTCTCGGGCCGGGCGAAAGGGGGGGATATATCAAAGGGAAGGAGGGGGGGGGGGGGGGAGAATCAGCTCTCGTAGCTGATTTTCCCGACGCCGGGAGGCACCGGGAGGCGCCCATGTATCGAGGAATGGGCCCGACAGCGGGGCAGAAACCAGCTGCATGCAGCAGATTTCGTAACCCCCCCTTTCCCAATCCCCCCCTTTCGTCCGGCCCGATCTTCGTGGAGCACGTTGCCGATGCCGGCGCCGCCGAAGACGACCATTGCAAGAGCGTCACCGTGGCCGCCCGACAGGGCCACCGCTGCGTGGTAGCAGCGCGGGGCGGGCTGCGGGCCATCCCCGCACCGCAGGCGGTCCCACTTGGCCAGGCCCGCCGGCAGCTGCCCGACCTGCACGAGGTACGCGACGCCTCGCGTCTCCCCGGATGCCGAGCAGCGGCCGCCGAAGACCACGAGCTGGCCGGCGCTCACCGCGCAGAGCGAGGCTCCGGAGAGGCGCGGCGCCTCCTGCAGCGGCGAGGTCGCCGGCGCCTCTGGGCGCACGGCGCGCAGGGGGCGCAGCCGCTCCCAGCGGCCCCGGCCCCGGCAGCCGCCCGCGGCCAGGCGCTGCAGCACCCGCGGCCACAGCGTGCGCGCCTGCGCGCCGGTCCGAGGCCAGACTCGGACCGCACCCACGGCGCTCGGAGTCGACTCTCAGGACGGGGGCGGGCGGGGCAGCTGCCCCGAGGGGGAACGTCAATAGGGGGCCACATGTGAACCCCACCCCACCCCCTCAGAATCGTGGGGGCAGGGGTAGGGTTCACATGTGGCCCCCTAGTCAAGCGGGCGACCGGCTCAGGAAGGGGGGGGGGCGAGAAGAAGGAGCAGCGAGCGGGAGGCAGCGATGCATCGCCGATGAATCGGCGCTGGGCCCCCGAGGGCGGAGCCGCCCGTGCCTGGGCGTGGTGGGCTGCCGGGCCCCCATGGGCGATGCACGGGCGACGGGGGGGCGGTGCGCTGCCTGCTAGGGCCAGGACCAAACTCAAAAGACGAGGTGCTTCTCGAACTTTTGCGCGTGCCAGACTTGGACTTTGAGTTGTTGCGGCAGCCGGTCGACGAAGATACGGATGATTCTGCCTTCACGTTAGGCATCGGTCTTCATAAAGAAGAAGTAGCTCTAGCACTCCTTCGGCGTCCAGAGGTAGACTCTGCAATGCTGCACCTGTTAGACGACGACGACAATAATGCTCTTATGATCTGCTTACGGAACCAAACAGAAACAGTAGCGCTAGAGTTTTTGCGCAGACCGGAGGTTGACGGCGCAATGCTGCGGAATAGGAACGTTCATGGTTCAAATGCTCTTCGTATTTGCATGCAGTACCAAACAGAAGCAGTGGCGTTGGAATTTCTTCGGCGCCCGGAAGTGGACGATGCGATGCTACGGCAGGCGAACTTTGAAGGCTGGAATGCTCTTATGTGTTGCATGCGGTACCAAACAGAAGCAGTGGCGTTAGAATTTCTTCGGCACCCGAAAGTGGACGATGCGATGCTGAGGCACACAAATGAAGGCGGGGTCTGGCAGGGCAGGGGCCCCCCCCCCTTTTGGGAGTGCGCCACGGGCGCGCTCCGCTCCATCTCTTCTCTGTGGATGTGTAGGGCGTGGCCTGGCGGCCACGTTCCGAGGAGGCAGAGGCGCCCATGCTGGTACTCTTGCCTCGTTCCTGCTTTTTTTTGGTCGGGGGTGGACAGAACCCCCAACAGTGACACGTCGATTCGTGAATTGTCCGTTTCGGTTCTCGCGAGGGCGCCGTGGCCGTTCTTTTCCAGGCTTGCGGCCCGCCAGGTTTGGGCCCCAGGTCGTTTTCACGAAACCACGCTTTACTAAAGGGGGGTGTGTCCATCCCCGAATCCCCCGCTGACGTTGCCCCGGAGGCCCGCGAGGAGGTGGTTGCGCCTTCCCTGGCCAAGACAGGGGCCAGCGCAGCGTGACTACATCTCGTGGGGCGGCGCCCGGCGGGGCCTCAGGAAGGCCGCGGGGAGGCAGGCACCCGTTGCGCTGATAGACCTGAGGTCCCGCCAGCGGCCCAAGAGTGTTTACAGTCGGCCCTATATCGGAAGGATGTGCGAGAAGGATGCAAGGGCCTTGGACGCCCATTTCCAAGCTTCTCGAGCGGGGCGCGGCCAACGAAAGTGGCCAAGGATGAGCCGAAGGGGCAAGGACGCAAGGGCTACCCTTGGGAAGGTTGCCCATCCTCACTGCACGGGTTGACTGTATCCTTTCTCCCCTGCCGCGTGGGCTCCTTGGCATCGCATCGTCAGACGCCTGGGCTCGGGGGTTAAAAATCTCGACTCCCAGACCTGTCCAGGGCCCCTGAAGTAGCACGGATAATAGAGGCCTCCCAGATGGGGTCGGAGGATCTCACCGCATCGCCACTGCATCTGCGATGCATCGACGACGTCGGCGATGCACCGGCGAGATCGGGTTCCACATCGAGACGCATCGCTGATGCATCGCCGATGTATCGGCAATGCATCGGCGATGCGGCGCGATCCTCCGACCCCATCCACTCCGACCAAACCGACAGCGAAACTGAAACCGACCGAAAGCGATACGCTACAAGCAGCCTCAAGGGCGCAGCAACGCGGCAACGGCACCATAGCCGACCGCACCGAACCAACCGAACGCACCCGGCTGCGACGCCACCGAGCCGACCGAACCGACAGAACACCCTTGCTGCCCAGGGCCCCTGACGTTAAGCTGATAGGCCGCCGCTAGGCTCTGGTTATGCGGCAACTCATGGGAGCATCCCCATACCATCTTGCTGGCTCTTCCGAATCGACGCTGATCGACGCTAGTCGACGCTAAACCGACCCCAATCGACGCTCATCGACGCTGATCGACACTCAATCGTCACTCATCCCACCCACTACCAGACGCTCATCGACGCTGGTGCACCCTGACGACGGAAATGCGAAGTAGAAGACCCCCAGGACTTGCTACCGAGCTCTGGCCTCGGACTCTTCAGAACAGAAGGCAAACGAGTCCTGAGGGAAACGGGTACTGGGCCCCGGGGCCTTCCACCAGGACGGGATCTTCATCCTGAGTCGTCTTCTGACGGCCCCAGGGCCCGTGGATGGCCTCGAGAGCCCGAAAACGGCGGAAAACCTCAGGACCCTGCTTTTGCCTCAGGACCCGTTCCCCTCATGTCGATGATCTCAGAACGCGTGTTAGCGCCGATGTGTGTTTGTCCATCGAGACCCTTCGATGCGACGCGGGCGACGTAATGCTCTACTGGCTGGGCTAAACGGTGTAAACACACAATGGGCTAACACACGTCCTGAGGATCATCGATCATGGCGGACTCTGGCCTCGGACTCTGCTCGCCTGGCCCGGCGGCCGCACCTCCGCCAGCGCCGGCACGGCCCTGCGGAGCGCGGGCCCCAGGGCCTCCGAAGCCCGCGGGGCGCTCGCCGCGAGGCGCAAGACGGGGCGCCAGGCTGCCGCGGGCGCGTCGAGGGCGCGGGGCAGGACGGTCGGTGGACAAGGACCAGGAGGAGGAGGAGGAGGAGGAGGAGGAGGAGGAGGAGGAGGAGGAGGAGGAGGAGGTGTGTGGGGTGGATGGGTGAAGGAGGGGGGTCCGCCACCGCCCCATCTCCTCTTCCTCCTCCACCCCGTCGCCTCATAGATAGCTCCTCACTGTAGCACCCCGAGGCCAGAGCGTTTTGCCTCAAACTCCCTCACGATGTATGGCCATAAAGCTTAAGCACTACCATACTTCACGAATGGAGGGCGGCGCGTTTTGAAAATGTGGCTCTCGCCTCAGCACCGCGCACATTCGCCTTAAAAGGTTGCCCGAAAATTGCGGATGGAGGCCGATTCCTTTTCAAAATGTGGCTCCGCCTTAGCGCCGCGCAGATTCGTCCTGAAGGTTCGCAAGAGTTTCACGGACGTAGGGCGGCCCGTTTTCAACATGTGGTTCTCGGCTCAGCGCCGCGCGCAATCATCGTAAGAGTTTGCAACAGTTTCAAATACGGTCGTGGTTATGGAGTTTTGACATGATGTCGAAATGTCAGGGCGCAACAGTCACGTTGATCCGTTTCAAGTTCCAGATATGGTACGCTGGCACGGTTCAGGATCGTCAAGTCGCAACAGCAACGGTGATTCACGGCCCTGATGCCCCAGGAATGACTCCCTGGCACAATTCCAGATGTTCAAACGGTTGTCTTCCAACCGGGCATCTCCCTCAGTGGCATTGAATCCGTGTAGGGGCCTATGGAGAGGAAACTTGGAGGGAGGGGGTGTTGCAATCTCGTGAATGATTCTTGGATGTACACTTGTCCTCCTCCAACTCCTCCTCCTCCACCTCCTCGTCCTCCTTCTCCTACCCCTCCTCATCTTCTTCCTCATCATCGTCATCCTCATCCTCCTCCTCCTCATCCTGATCCTCGCTGTCGTCCTCCTCCTCCTCCTCCTCCTCCTCCTCCTCCTCCTCCTCCTCCTCCTCCTCCCCCTTTTCCTCCTCCTCCTCCTCCTCCTCCTCCTCCTCCTCGCCTCTCGCTCCTGGCTCCCCGCTCCTCCTCCTCCTCTCTCCCGTTCCTCCTCCTCCTGTCAGACGGCTGGCGGTCCTCGACGACGTCGGCGACGACGGAAAACGTATTGGTCGTGGCGACAACGAGCGTCAAGGGGGGGAGGACGCACTGGAGGAGAGGAGGGGGGGGGGGGCGCTTTACGTTATCGAGGGGGACAGGGGGGGAGGGGGGGGGGAGCGTGGGGGGGGAGGAGGGGGGGGAAGGGGGGGACATACCGCGCACTTCGCGTTATGTTCCAGAGGTTAAAAGAACACTCTCACGTCGACGTCTCAGTCTCGGAGGCTGTCTTGGTGTGTTTTCCTGGGGCGTTCTCATCGCCACGTGGATTCCACTCGAAAATCTGGCCGAAGCGAATCCCTCCGCAACAAGTCAGTAGATGTTGCCCCCCCCCCCAGAGCCCACACCCTCTGGCTTCGC